CCCCCCGCACCCTTCTAACCCCCCCTTCCTCTCCTAGATCCAGTTTGTCCTGGTATCCCTGCACATCTCCCAGTACTACTTCATGCCCAGCTGTAACTACCAGTACCCAGTCATCATCCACCTCATCTGGATGTACGGCACCATCTTCTTTGTGCTCTTCTCCAATTTCTGGTATCATTCTTACACTAAAGGCAAGCGGCTGCCCCGTGCACTTCAGCAGAATGGAGCACCAGGTACTGCCAAGGTCAAGGCCAACTGAGTATCGTGGCTTAGCTAGGCGCCCACCTAAGTGCCTCAGGACTGCACCTTGGGCAGCATCCGTCAGCGTCCTCTCCACCTACACCTGCGACCAGGGCTTATGTGGTCAGGACTGGGCAGGGGATGGCCCTTCCCTCCCCACAGCTGGTACAGGGACCACTGCTTCCGTTCCTCACCCACTTCCCCCGGCCAGCCCCAGGGATGTGGCCTCAATGCCCTGGAGATAGGGGCTGAAAGGGTTGGACACTTACTCCCCCCTCCCTGCCTTAAACTTGGGAGAGGAGCACTCAGGGCTGGCCCCCACCAGGGTCTTGTGGCCTTTTTTCCTCACACTGAAGAGGTCAGCAATAATCTGTCACTGTGGACTCAGCCTCCCTCCTCCACTCCATAACTGTAGCAGGAGCTTCTTGGCCAAAGGTCAGAGTAGGTGGGGGGGCCTGGGAATACAGCCTGTGGAGGCTGCTCACTCACTTTGTCTTCATTAAAAGTGACAGAGGAAACGACTGAGGCTGTGTGTGTGCATGTGTCAACAGAGGAGGTGGGGGTACACAAAGCCTGCTGCGTCTGTAAGCAGGGGGATAATCACAGTTCCCACAGCCTGCCTAGCCCTCTGATCACTGGGACTCTGGGAAGGCTGCTGACACCAAGATCATGCAAGAAGACAGGGAGGAGATGCGACTTTATTAGAAAAATAAAAAAACAAAAAATACTAAAGGTGTTGCGGTGGTCCTCAGCGGATGCCTTGGTGGATGAGGCTGCTTTTGGCCGCACTGGCCTTTTCCCTCTCCCGCCGGCGCGCAGGGTCCAGCTCAAAGCAGCGCCATAGCCGCAGGGTCTCGTCTGCTGCGGCTGATGCCACCGTGGCCCCATCTGGACTCATGGTCAGACTCAGGACCCGGGCTGTGTGGCCTGGGCAGAGGAGGAAAAGGTGAGAGCTGTTCAGTGAATGCAGATGTACTGCTACCTTCCAGTTCTTAGGGCCACCTACCTTTTTTGGGTTTTGTTTATTACAGCTAATTGAGATTTCTAACGTGTGCAAGTCATTAGTTTTAGCACACTCAAAGTTGTACAACCGTCATAGCTGTCCAGAACATTTTCATCACCTCATCAAGTCACTATCCTCTTTCTTTAAGTCTGTGGCAACCAATTAATCTGTTTTCTTTCTCTGCATCTGCCTTGTCTGCGACTTTTCATATAGTCATACATACGTGGTCTTTTGTGTCCATTTCATTTAGCACCTACCTTTGAGCTCAGCCACCTTGGCCATGGTTGGGTACTTCCAAATAACCAGCTGGTTCTGGGCAAAGCCATGGCCTGAGATGAGCTCCTTGTAGTGGGGAGACCAGAGGATGGAGCACACCTATGGAGAGGGGCTAGCATGAGAATGACACAGGACTAATGCTGCTAAATCAGAATTAAGACCATTCTAATGTAAGGCACCCTGACAGGTGCTACAAAGTTGATCTAGGGAAATGTACAAGCAAGGAAGGGCCTCAAGGATCATTCTAGTGGGCTTAGATCATATGCTATAGGTGATGGGGGTGGGGGCTATTACAGGGTTTAAAGGAGAACACTAACAGGCCATCCAGACCAATACAATAGACAGATACAAAGAGATAGGAATGCTGGTACCAGTGCAGTGCGCCTCGGCTGGAAAGGGTGCAGCCGAAGGGACAGATACTGAGTTAAAAATGACCAGTCTTGACGAATAGATGAGGAGGATGAGAATCTAGGTTTTTCAGATCTGAGTAGATTTTCAATACAAAGGGAACTGACAAGTTTAATCTGGGACATACTGGGGCATCCCTATAGGACACAGGACTAGAGATAAGCCACAGACTGTTGGACCTATGGGTCTGAGTCAGAAGTTCAGGAATCATCAGGATACAGACTTGGCAAAGTCACAGAAAGGGACATGGCTGCTCTTGAAGTGTATATAATAGAGTAAGAACACATCTCTAAGGGGGAAGCTGGAATAAGACTACCTGGGAATGGGCATCCACAGCACTCAGACAGGCCCCAGAGCAGACGTTCCAGATGCGAATGTGTCGGTCACTGGTGCCCCCTCCGGTTGCGAGGACATTGGACTGCCAGGGACACCAAGCTACAGCCTAGATGGGAGAGGTGAGGTCAGATTAAAATCAGTGAGACAAGGAGGTACAGGAGTCATAGATTAACCCACTTCAACCCCACCATTCCATCTATCTACCTTTAACAGTCCCCAGGTTCTGGCTGAGGGTCTGCAAAGGCTCCAGCCCCACCCCTAAATTCACCTTGACTGCCCCCTGATGCTGGGTGAATGTCTGCAGGGGAACCCAGCCACCTTCTCCAGGAGCACTGGGCCACACATTGACCAAGTTATCGTTGCCACCACTGGCCAAATGTCGTCCATCTGGGGCCCAGCGCAGTCCACATACTTCCTGGCTGTGGCCACTCAGTGTGGCCACGTGGTGTTCTGCTACACGAACATCATGATGGTGGATATGGCCAGAGCGTGAGCCACTGTGGAAGATAAGGGAATCAAGTTCTGTGCCAGTGTCAAACACAAGAAGCAGGCTGTGCTGCCTCAGTTTACAGATATACAGTTGAGGGAGAGTGGGCAACAATCCTAACTAGATTATCCATAAATGGATTATGTCATAGCGAGAATCACTGACCTGGACAGGATATAGCTATTCCAACATAGGGAGCCGACTCGGGCAGAATGACTGGTCATGTTGCGGAGCCGTTTCTGCTGTTGCACATCCCACAGCTAGAAATCAGAGTTCGGGACTCAGAATTAACATCCTCCTGCTGGGCAACCCCCCTGGGTCTGGAGGCAAAAGAGCTGCAGCACAGGGACAAGTCTCACCTGCACCTCAGCACTGCTGGTGCCCACAGCCAGGTAGTTGCCTTCTTTGATCCAGGCTACAGAAGATACATACTCCCCAGGCTGTTCCATTTGGAGCAGCTGCAGGATGTCACCCGAGCTAGCACTCCACAAATACACACTGTTGTCCAGCGCCACGGCCAGGACGTTTCCAGAGCTCCAGTCCACAAGATTTAGGTCTGCCAGAGGGGAAGGGAAAAGCATGCTTTAGCTTGCTTGCCTTGTCCCTGGGCCCTTTCTCCATCCACTGGGCAAAGGCTGCACTTACAGTAGTCATTCCGGATTTCGGGGGCATCCAGGATGCGGTCTGGCAGGGAAGGAATGTAACGGCAGGTCTTCCGGCTGGAGCCAGGAGTGGCCTTTTGGCTATAGAGTACTTTCAGTCTGTTCTGGTAACCTGTGGCAACCGTGGGTTTAGTTTGGACAGTGGAATACTGCAGCCTCCGTGCCATGCCCCTCCCACCCCTTGCATGGAAAGCTGGATCAGCACTTCCCTTCCCAGTCGCTGGTGAGAGGAACAACCAGGCATCTCCCCTCAGCCCTGGGGAGGCGCTGCCACCTCCCAAGAATTTCAGTCTTACCCTCTGGGGCATTCTGCGGTTTCCCACTGAGCCGAAGGATCTTGGCTTCCTCCACATCGAAACCGTTCAAGTTTAAAGCCCAGGCTTTCTGATGTTCCTGGCACAGGAGGAGGAGGTGGAATGGCATCACCCAAGGTCCACTGATAGGTCCCCTACCGTCAGCCTCGCCGGGACACCTACCTTCTTGGTGGGCGTCTGGCTGTTTTCTGGCTGGTTCTCCTTGCTCAGGAGGAAGCTGGCCACCTCCATCTGGGAAGCACTGCGATGGGGGATATAGCGGTCACCGCCAGGCTTGCTGGGAGTGGTCTGACTCTTAGAGCTGGATTTACCTGGGGCAGGCAGAGGGAAGCCAGTCTGACCAGGCCCGGGGGGAGGAGGCACTAAGTCTGCTCCCCCTCTTCCTCCCGCGTCCCGCCGCACTCTACAAACCAGGAGTTCGCCCCGGGGTCCTGCCGGCGCTGTGGGATCGGTTGGCAGCCCGCATGGGGGAGGGGGCGGGCCCCGCCGCATCCTTGGCTTTGCGCTGCCAGCGAGCGGGCGGTGCATTGGGGATGGGTGCGTCCAGCTGAAGCAGCGAGTGCAGGTCACTCTCGAACACGAACTGCGCCATGGGGGCGTCCGGAGGGGAGGGGGTCCTCGGAAGGGAGCCCTGCAGAGCCCTGCAAGGAGCAGTGACCGTGCTCTGGGTCGAAGCGCACGCCGGCCGCGGCCCCTCCTCGGCTGCAGCCCGTAGACTCTCCCGTTTGCCCTCAAGCAGGCTCCAATTCCGGACAGCCCTGACGAAGCTCGACCCGTACGTCTTAAACTCTCCGCTTCGAGCACTCATTGGCTCCTTCAAAACCCAACCGTCTCAACCGTTGCCCTCTCCCATTGGCTCCTACCGCCTAAGGGGCGGGTCTTCCGGCTTAAGTCACAGATCTCACGAGAAATTGACAGGGAGCGAGATTTGAAGAATAAGGGGAAAAGGCATCTGCAAGCCTGAGGGGCGGGGCCGAGCCCGCCGGGGGCGAGGCCGGGGCCGTCAAGGGGCGGGGCCGGGCCCTCCGGGGCCCCGCCTTCGCCGCCTCTGCATTCCGGAATCTCTTCCATTCATTCCTCTGCTTCCCCTCACCCGCTCCTCACTCTTGAAGTCTGAGCGTGGGTCATAGTTATGATGATACATTAGTACAGAGCTCGGCGGAGTGGCCTAACGCACTCGAGCCTCCCAGAGAAGGGGAAGGCTAGGGGCGCACAGCCGTGGGCAGGGGGGGATGGGGAAGGCGTTTTGCAGCTTTGGGGCCAGAAGGCCAGAACTGGTTCGAAGGTATGGCCTGTTTGCTCAGTGCCGGCCACAGCGCTGCCTGGAAGGAAAGCGCGTGTGTTTAGGGGAAGATGAAAGAGGCATGATTCCTTAAGGTCAAGAAAAAGGATCAAGATTCATTCCTGCTGATCTGGAAGATAAAATGGGCCGCCCTGTGGATCCCCTCCACGGGGCTTTGGGGATGTGGGGAATCAGCTACCAGTCAGTCTGTGCATGCACCCTACTCTTACTGGCAACATGCCCATACTTCACAAAAGAAGAAACAGAAGGGGGAGGTGGGGATGATTTGACCCAGGTCACAGCAAATGGTGGGGAATCTTGTTCTGATTCCAGTTCAGTTCAGTGCTCTAATAATGACCTGGGTGAACTGTTTGAATAATCTTAGAGGTGACGCTGAAATCATAAAAGTAATAGTGGGTGCTATTTATTGGCCATCAGCTAACTACTGTTTACATACATTCTTGGGTTACTCCTGCTCCCTAAGGCTGTACTCTAATCCCTTTTTACTGAAAGGGAATCGGGGTCAGAAAGAGTCAGTCTTGGCTCAAAGCCCATAATACTAAGCCAAGGTGCCAAACTGTCAAGCCCCTGTGCTCCTTACTATCCAGTGTCCTGTCCAAGAGAGAGGCTGGCAAGATCACATTTTCAGTTGTGAGCCTAAGATCCACACTGATGATGGAAAAATCTGGTTCTCCTAGCCCAAAGTTAATATTGTTATTTTTAACTTTGAAGCAGTCATGTTCTCTATTTCCATTCACTTTAGAAAACAAGGAGTTAAGTGTCCTGGGGTTGGAAATGTGGAGCCCTTGAACCCCAGAGGACATTGAAAAGACAGTCTAAAGTCAAGCTGATAAGGGCCTTAACTGTAAACTAAGAAATTTGTATTTTACCTGCCAGTTATTGTGGCATCAATGAAGATTCCATATAGGAAAGGGCCTTACAGAACTGTATCTGAGGGTATGACTAGCAATTTGCAGTTTTTGGAGTAAGGGTAACTGTACAAGAAAAGGAGAGAGTAAATAAGTGTACAGCCTCAGGGATTTTGTGCATTATAAAGTAGAGGTATGAAAGAAGCTAGTGGAGGTTACATTACATGAAGAGTGAGTTCTATTATAATGCAAAATGATCAAGCAGAATGATGACAGAAGTCAGATTTGGCCATTGAGAAATCATCAGTGACCTTGGAAAGAGTAGGATCAGAGAGTGGGTGCTTGGGTTCCATTTGAAAGAGGTTGCAGAAAAAGAATGGGGAGCAAACACAGGCCACTTGTGTAAGAAACTTGGGAGTGAAAAGGGTAGTGTTCAGAGCTTGGGAAACACCAACATTAAAAGGTCTATGCATATTTGAAGGTGAAGACAAAAGATCAGGAAAGATAAAAGAGGCCAGCTGGTAGAATAAGGAAACCTTGTACCTTCCCTAGGAAGACATGGAAAGAAAATACAGGGCGCTTTTCCAATCTAAGAAAGATCACTTTTACTTAGGTTGGACAGAAGGAAAATAAGGTACTCTAGAGACAGATTAGCCAACAAGGAACTGGTTAGATAGGAGAAACTCCGCCATGGAAGGAATAAAATATAGGTGATTTTCAGGTGATGAAACAGCCCATTTGGAATAATTATAAGAGCTCAGTAAGCACTGAGTACTTACTGTGCTTGGCATCATTGCGTTCACATTTTTAATCCTCATCTAGGGAAATAATAGAAAAGAAAAAGTTCAGATTCTGAAGAGTCAAGTTAAAGACTTAGAAGTAAGGAGTAAGATGAATAGGCAGATCAATCTGGAAGCAACATACAGGTTGGATTTAAGGAGAGACCAGAGGCAGAGATATTAGAAGGCTGCAATAACAGTCAGTGAAGATGGAGCAGAGGAGATGGAATTAGGAGGTAAAGTGGTCAGGACATAAGGAATGGGAGAGTATCATGAATTGTGTCCCCCGCTAAATGCATGTTGAATTCCTAACCCCAGAACTTCCAAGTGTGACCATATTGGGAAACAGAGTCACTGCAGATGTTAATGCATCTGGTGAAGTCATTGGACCATAATGTTATATGGCTGGTGTCCCATTTAAAATGTGGACACAGATACAGGGAGAATGCAAAGTGAAGAATACCCTAGCTAAGGAACAACGAAGATTTCCAGGAAAATACCAGAAATTGGGGGAAAGGCATGGAAGACTCTTTCTCACAGGTTTCAGAAGGAACTAATGCTGCTCCTTGACACCTTGAACTTCTAGCCTCCAGAACTGTGAGACAAAAAAAAAATTATTTTGTAAACCACCAAGCTTGTACTTTCTTATAGCAGTGCTAGCAAAATAACACAGAGATCAGATGGTAGGAGGAGAGTGAGTTATTCCCACACCCCCATCCCTACATCAGATGATTAGCTGTATCTCTATAATAATGGCCATCTGCTGCCAGGAAGCTCTCTTACAGCTACTCTCTCCAGGTTGAGTAACCACTCTTTTTGATGCCTAGGGGTAGTATCAGCTCCCAAGTGTTGTTAGCCCTGGAGTACTTTTCTTCAATCCTGCCTCATCTTTATAAATATGCCCTTCATCAAATCTCATCAAGTTACCAACTTTGAGTATGCCATCTATTTCTGCAATGAGAACTGAATGGATTGAGGGAACCCATAACCAGAATGGCATAAGCACACACTATTAGTACTGCTATGAATGACTCAGAGGCTGAGGTAGGTTGGCGTGGGGTTACAGTGGGAAAGTACGGAAAGATTCTATTCATTTAGAAAAAATTTATTGAAGGCCTACTCTCGCGCACCAGGTACTACTCTAGGCGCTGGTAGGGGCTGGGGAGTGGGGTTGTGGACAAATAAATCATGGTCCTTGCCCTCTAGGAACTCACAATCTAGTAGAAAACAGACTTGTAAATAGTCACTTGCATAAGGCATTACAATTACTGTAGGAGAGGTCTGGGTTGGAGCTAGGAAATTTGGAGTAGTCAGCTCAGTGGGATGGCCATGCAAATAGATGGGACTGCAGAGACTGTTAAGTGGATTCTTGCAGGGCTGCAGGGTGGGACAGGGTGTGGTGGGGGAGGGTGGAGGCACAGCCTTCCTCCTCCCACCCCTGCTACTGCTTATTCTGGGCCTGGAGGCACCAGGTCTCCCTCACCATGCAGAAAGACTCTGGTGAGTTCATGGACCTGTATCTGCCGAAATGCTCTGCCAGAAACTGCATCATCGGCACCAAGGACCACATGTCCATTTGCATGAACGTGGCAGAAGTTGATGAGTGGCAGGTTCGAAGGCCAATTTAAAACCTACACCATTTGCGAGGTCATTGGCAGGCTGGGTGAGCACAATGACTGACGCCATTATCCATCTGGCCAAGATGGCCAGCATTGTGTCTGAGAACTTCTGATGGGGAGAGTCATGGATGTGGAATATTTGTCATAAGTGAATAGTAAGAAGCAAAACAAAACAAAACGACAGCAACAACAAAAGGATTCTTGAGGGAGGGACTGCAATAATTAGGGGGTGGACAGATACTAGGATAAAAACTCAGAAAGGAATGATTACAGTAATTCAGATACATTAAACACTGTATCCTAGGCACTGTGCTTTACTTAGATTATCTCACTTAATCCTTTTCACAATTGTATGGGGTTCTATTATCACTCCCACCTTCTAGATGAGGGAACTAAGGTTCAAAGGCTCCAAGTTACTTGTTCAAAGTTGTTCATGGAGCATGTGGGAAAGAAAAGAATTGAACCCAGTTCTGACACTACAGTTCATACTCTTAACTCTCATACTCAGTGAGGCAGGAGCAGAAACAGGAGAGATGCTGATGGCATAGAAGCCAAGGTAGGAAAATATTTAAAGGTGAAATGAACAGTCAGCATGACAAATGCCACCAAGAGATCAAATAAATTGAGGGTTAACAAGATCCAGTGTAACAAGATCCTCCTAGATCTATCAGTTAGGAAGCTTGAGGTGAACCTTACCATGAGCCATATGGTAGTAGGGGAACTAATTAGTTTGAAAAGCAAAGGGGAAAATACAGGGTTTTTTTTGTTTTTTGTTTTTAAGGATTTTAAAGAGGAGAGAGAAAGAAGGTAAAAGTTAGAGGAGCTTAGTGAAATGATCCTTGCCTGAGCAGAGAAGGACTTGGATGGCTGTTAGCGAGGGGACTGCAAGCTCAGTGTTCCGAAGCCCAATTGGGACAGTATGGAAATGAGGGGATGGAAATGAGGTCTAAGATACTTGTGTCCTGGGGTTGGGTGGGGTAGGGAGGATTGGAAGCTAGAGCTAGAGGGTTTGGATCTGCCCAGGGTACTGGGGGTGAGGAGCCCAACAGCTTAATGGTAAGTAGGAATGGTTGGCGATGTGAGTGGTGCAGGAGGACCCAGACTCAGCCGTGAGTGGGCACATAGTCAGGGGCATGGTCCCCAGACAGGAAGGCTGCAATGCTCGGTAGTCCCTCTGGGTCTGGGAGGAGCAGAGAGGCAAGGAGGTCTTCTCTCTGGACCTAGGTAGAATTTCCAGGAGACTGGGTTCCACTTCCTCATAGACATCTGAGACGACAGCCTTGGGCTGGGAGAGCTGGGGGGAGAGGGGTCTGGATTAGAACAGATCCTATGGAGGAGGACCTCAATTGTGCAATAAGAAGAGTCTGGCTGGGGTTAGGGCCTGGGGAAGGTACACTGGTGGGCAAAGATCTTGGAAAAGATGTGTTGAAGGGGCGAGGATGCAGCTCCAGCAGGATGTGGTGGCGGGGTTGGTGGGGAGGAGAGTGCACTCACCGAACTCAATGCCGCAGTATCACTAAGGTACTGGCCCAGGACCCGGTGCAGGTCTGGAAGTGAGGGCCACAGGGCGTGCCTCAGGCTCCTTGGGGAGAAAGCAAAGGAGACCCAGTCAGGAGAGTAAGTGAACTAGGAAGGAATAGAGCACTGGTATGGGGGTGAGGAGGCAGTCAGCTAGGGGAATACTTGTAGACAGGTGAGAATAGAGTCCAGGGAATAAAATAAGGTAGGAGAGTACGGGTGAAAGGGAAAACGTAGGTGCCCTCCCGGTGGCACAAGGGGTTAAAGCACAGGACTGTAAAGCTATCTATCTGCAGTTTGAGCCAGCCAGGGAGCTGACCCACATGGCGCGGCAGACCTCTCCTGTCCTGCCTGCTGCTCCCCTCAGCAGTGTGTTCAGTCAGCCTGTTCTGCTCTCCACTGTCTCTGGTGAATCCTCTCACTGCCCCTGCACCTCTGGCCTGTACCCCAATTCTTATATGCATAAATAAATATTTTTTTTTAAAGGAAATCTTAAGTGAGGGAGAGAAATCAGTGATAGGGAGGTTCATTCCACACAGGCTGGTACAGATTATCCTCAAACATTCCTACTTCAGAGCCTTTATATTTTCTTTTCTTTCTGCCTGGAATATTCAGTTTGTTCCCACTTTTCATTCAGGTTTCTGCTTGAATGTTATTCTGACAGAGGTGCCTTCTAAAATAGCTGTAACTAGTATCTCCTCACTTCCCCATCACTGTTTCCTCTACCTTATCATCTTTTTAAAAATACTTGCTTACTGAATATTTATTATACTATTATATGGAGTATACTATTTATTACACTATTTATATTTTGTGTTTCACCGGACTGGAATGCTCCACAAATGCAAAATGTTTGTCTATTTGCTCATTCCTGTATCTCCATGATGTAGAACACTGTCTGGCCTATAGTAGGTGCTCAATAAATTAGCTGAATGAATGAATACAGAGAAGAAGTGGGGCTTAATATTGCTACTGAGGAGAGTGGTTGCTCTGGAAAGCGCATGGAGTAAGGCATGTTGGGGAACCTCCAATCCTTTAGGCTCAGATTTCCACAGAGAGACTATTTGAATGACATTTGGAGCTTCTTCAATGACCTCTCATATTTCTCCAGGAAGGAAGGAATGACGCATTTGGTAAATAGGGAAAAGGAGCCGAATGAATATCCTTGGCTCAACAGCACCACCTCCCATTTCAACAACCCTCCACCCCACCAGCTTTTTTGTTATGTCTGGCTACCTATACGTGGCTACATTTCAGTCTGCTCATACAGATGAATGAGTGGATTAAAAGTTCAGATAGGGCCCTCCCTGGTGGTGCAATGGATTAAAGCGCAGCACTTTAAGCCAGCTGTAGCCGCTTCAGTGTGAGTTCAGTCCCTGCCCTGGAGGTGACCCACATGGCACAGCAGACCTCTCCTGACCCGCCCGCTGCTCCCCTCAGCAGTGTATTCTGTCAATCTGCTTGTTCTGCCCCCCACTCTGTCTCTGGTGAATCCTCCCACAGCCTCTGCACCTCTAGCATGTACCCCAGATCTGTATGTATAAATAAATAAATCTTAAAAAAAGTTTTGATAAATATATGTTTAAAGAGAGCTAAGTCTTTGAACTTAAAGAGATACTACCATTGAAGGACCAAGGTGGTATGGATGCTATTCTTTGTAACTTCCAGAAACGTTTCTCCTCAGCCTAGTCTTCTATATAAATGTGTACCCATTAATCACATTTATTTAAAGGTCTGCTATTTGTCAGGCACTGTGCTGAGGATTTAAAGGTAACCAAATAAGGCACAAGGAAGACATGTACAGAAATAGATGCAGTAAAATGCAACCGGTGTTATGAAGTCTGTACTGGGCACAAAGAGAGTAGCCAGTAGGGGAAGGTTAGCACACATTCCTAGCAGTGGGTCAAGACAGTTAGTTATTTAGAAATAAATGGGTAGTAGTCACCCAGGCAGGATATGCCTGGCAGAAGGGGCATTGTGCAAAGGCACTGAGAAGTAAAACTGCCTGACTGAGGAAGAAGTCACCAACAGTTTGGTAAGGCAGATGTGTTGCTGGTAAAGCAGGCAGGGGGCCAGGCTTGGCCAAGTCTGACTTGCCATTCTAGAATCTGGGCTCTGTCTCGGGTGCTAATGAGATTTAAGAAGGGGAATGATAAGTTCATGTGTGCACTCCAGAAAGATTATTCTGGTGGCTGTGTGAGGCTAGGTCAGAGAGAGAAGAGGCTCTTTTTTCTTAAGTCAGGTAGTGTCTAAGGGCTAAAGAAAGAGGGCCATTGTTTGAGCAAGGTTCAGGAGGTGAAATGACCAGATCAGACCAGACTGGCCAAGGGGGAGGAGGTGCCTAGACAGTCTGGGTGAGGGGTGGAGAGTAACCACTCCTGGGGTGGGAGACAGGAGGTGGGGCTGTTTGAGGTGTCCAGAACAGAGGGCATGTTAGAGGGTAAGGAGGTGGTGAGACTCCCTGGGGGAACATGCAGGAAGCAGCTGGTGTGCGTGGGGTTGTTCAGAGATGGGGTGTCACTGAGACCCAGGATACATGTTTGGAGACGTCCGGTCGACCCCCACAAAGGACTGTCTCTGCTTGACCGGGACGGTACCTGTAGTAGGCAGGAAACTGCCACCTCAGTAGCAGCAGGCCCAGGAGGGCGCTGAGGCCCAGCACCAGCAGCAGAGCGGTCACCAGGGAGATCCAGGCTGCCCAAGTAGAAAAAGTCAGATCCCAGTGA